AAAGCCGTTAGTTTTTGTTGAAAACCTAGCCCACGTGGGTGGTGACGTCCTTAATGTTGTATTTATACCCTGTGCACAAAAGTGGACCAATGTGGGTGTATTGAAATTCAAGGCAGATAAAACAAAAAACGTAAATCGTACCGGAAAGTATTCAATCGTGGATGCAGGTTCGAATCTATGGTGGATTCATGCATTGTATTTTTATAAAAGGAAAGTTGTTCTATGGTTAGTTGATGATGCCAAATGGATTAGTTGTTTAAGAAAGTGGGTCAACAGCGTGGATCTGGGCTAGAATCCATAGCAAGTATGCACTTGTAATTAATATATTTACGCAATGTAATTATTTCCAATGAAAATTTTGTTTTATGGTTTGTTACAATAAATTAAAATGATAAAACAGCTATGGTTATGTGAAAGGTTGCTTCGGGTTTTCTATCTTCAGAAATGAATATTTCAAAACAAAAAATTACACTTATTTTATAAATTTGTCTATAAAGAAAATATTAATTAAAAAATCACCCTAATACAATTAAAAAAATATTATTTCTTGAAAGTGAAAAAAAGGTTTATTTCGAGGTAATAATTTCGGAAAAAATCGAATTGTTTTAACTTTGTTGAGGCTTGTTAAGGCTACAGCTGTGTACTACAGGATATCTATTAAGTTGATCAGTCTTCATGCTCATAATCGAGGTTGTTGTTGTTGTGCAACACTTTTGTATGGGGCATCAAATTGAATTTAATTGCAGCTGCCGCCCAGCACAATGTTTGTAGCCTGGGTCTGCTGTTTGTTTGGCTTGTTTGCAATTCTCGTTTTGTGCGAATTGTTTTGTATTTTGCAACTATTGTTTAAGTGGGCGGCATATCAGTTTGCTGGCCATTCTAGCTTGTTGATTTTATGCTAATTTAATGCACTTGCTCAATTTAAGCTTCGCCCCCGGCCCAGATCGTCCCGATTCCGGTGCAGTCATTGATCTCAATATAATTTGCTGCTAATGCGCAAGGCAAACACATCGCAATATTTGCCATTTTCATTATGTAAATTTTGCTAGCGAGGCGCACAAATATTGACATTAAAGCCAAGTTAACGAGTTGCTCGCACAGGAAGTGTCGAGTCTGGAACGGAACTTGGACCTGACTTGGACATGACATGGCCGTCTACATAGCTGGGTAGCGTGGACATGAGTTCAGCTGAGCTGAGCTGTCGTTGCTTTTGACAAGCTAACAAATTGTTTTTCCGGCTTGAGGTGCACCACATGCAAACAGGAAATTAATAAATAAAAGGGCCACAGCCACAAACTACACAACCCCAAGCCAAAACTGACCGTAACAGATTTTGACTCTGACATCGACTCGATTCCATCATCGTCCTCGTCATCAGCATCATTATCAACATCATCAGCATTTTCATTCAACTTAAATTCAAATTTATGTAACTAATGCTGCCCAAAGCAGAAACCGCCGCAGACAAGAAGGGCGGAACTTTAAAGTTTTGGGCCACAAGCAAAATAACAAATATACGGAAATTCAGATGTCAAAACAAAACGGTAAGGCAGGTGTTATATGATTGACGTATCGAATCGAATTCCAATCGACCCAAAAGCAAATTCCAAGAAGCAAACGATTTTTGTTGTAGCCAACACAGAAGCTTACTTTTGAGGCCAAATTTGCATTAGGCTGTATTGGGTTTGAATTATTGATAGCTAACAATTTTATCTTTTAAAATATTGTATATTAATATGTACTTATCTGCTTTTCACAACTTTCTCTGGCGCAGCTAATTTAAAGGCAGAGCATCAAGTCCGATGAAAATTGTGAACAGTTGCGTTCTCTGACTTTAAATTTAGCTGCTGTGCTGGGTTTTCCACATCCATTTACTGACGATTTGATTGGTCATATATTTTTTTTAATGTTTTATTTATTTATTTAAATTTGCTCATTTAACTGAGAATATCTACTCAAAATTGGCATGCTCCAAATATGTTGTTGGGTCCGAAGTTAATAATATTTTGGGCAAGTTTTATATTTTAAGCCAACCCATTTTTATTGAGGCTTGTCTTTTTATTTGATAAATGTTGGGATTCCAGGCTCGAATCGATTCTGATTTGTTGCCTTGATTGTAAGTAAAATATTCAATTTACTTCCTTATTACTCAAGCTTAAAGCAACAGCAAAACTATCTTCTTTTTATTTTATGCCATGCACTCAATTTTTGCTATCAAGTATTAACAGCTCTGCTAATTGAATGTGAACAATGCTTTTAAATAAATTGCAGTTTAACCAAATCTCAAAAGCTATAAATAATTTGTAATAATCTGATAATTATCATCAAGCATGCAGCCACTTAAATGTTGGCAACAATTTTCAAATGAACTTTACACATTATTAGCCTGCTTGTAATCGGCATCAGGAGCCGCATTAACATTGCGTATCAGACGGAGCAACATATTTTTGGCTCGCTCGCCTGCCACAGCAGCAAAAATGAGGCTGGGGAGGATTGACGCGGCTACGCCAGCTCCTCGAGCCTGTTCAATTTATTGTAACGTTTGGAATGCATTTCCAATAATCAGTGCATTCATTTATGCGCAGGCATTAATTGAATTAAAAGTGCAGTGGGAATACGGCGAAGAGCAGAGAAGCAGAGTTAACTAAACGTGAATGGCGGAATACCATCAATGTTGTCAACATTCTCAGGCTTGTCCGCTCCGAACGCAAAGGCATTTTGCGTTGCCTTGGATATGGATCAGGGACAACGTTGCAGTAGGTTGCGTGCGGTACTGCTGTTAAGTTTCTGAAGCCACCCAGCCACACACACAAACACACACACACCCACACACATATCTGTGTCGGAGGCTGTGCTTTCTACCTTTAACAGGTGCGCGGGAGAGGAAACGGAATGCTGTGGAGGCAGTTAAGTTGCCGTCCTGGGTTTTGTTTGGCTGTTGTTTGCCGTGGCTCGTTACACTTCACTGGCTGCGCCAACATTGACAGAGACATGCGATAATCGCTTCATTCAAGCCATAAGCCTTAAAGCAGCCAATGCAGTCGTGTGTAGAGCCTCCATTCGCACAGCTGATGAGCCGGCGCGGGGCAGCGGGCAGCGGACAAAAGTTGAAATTTCTAAGCGAGTTGCCCACATTAGAGTTTATCCATGAGTGAAGCTATTGCATTAGAACTTCTACCCAAATATCTCATTCACCTGCTCAGGTATTTCAATGCCCATTCGTTCACATCTATTATATCTGCATCGGATTGCCACCTCGCTTGACTAAGCTCCCCGACACACGTTCCTTAGGTTTTATTTCGAGTTTTTTTCTCAAGTTTTCTGCCTGTTATCTGGTGCCATTCACATTTTGGGAAAGTTTTGATTAAAATCTGAAATGTTAGATCGACAGTGCCAGAGTTTTGGGAATGTTGCCAACGGTTGTTACTGACTTTCTAATACTGTTTCACAATTTGATAACCGTGTAAAACATAATTTCTGCAAATATGTCGATTTGCCAAATATTTTTAGAGTGATTCTTAGTCTTCATTGCAAACAAGATCATAAAACTCTTAAAAGTATAGACGAAGGCCTGTCAAAGCGTGGAAACTTTTTTCTCGATAAATATAATCTAATAATCTAATATAATTCAAATACATTTTTTGTAGCTAGACCTGGGAAACACGCCCATGGAGTGGAGTATATATATTATGCATATTCAAAGTTTTAATTACATATGCATACATATATGTATGTACATAAGAATATTTTTATGTATTACATACATTATTTGCAGAGAGCCAATTAACCTTTGATCACACCTTTTTAATGCTGTTAGGGAATACGAATTGAAGTCGCTTAAAGATGCTGCATACGCACATACATATACACATACATAGAACACATTTTGGCCAGACATTCATAATTCTCAGCGATTATGACGCGCAATCTCTTAGTCAGACTTTGTCTCCCCCCTCTCTCACCCACATGCCAAATTATGAATGACCGCAACGGCAAATTTATATGTGTATACATATACATATGTATACCACGTACATATATACATACAAACAGGCCAGCAGGGCGCGTGTCAAAGAACAGCTGCTGGGTTTGCCGTGGCTGGAATTCATACATGCATACATATTTATATTCATGTACATTCATACATGTATAGTAGTAAATGTATGCAATTTGGCACAAGACTTAGGCATATGTTTTAATGTGTGCATTTTAAATTAAATGAACATACACTTACCCGTAGGTAAGGCTCTTGGCATTTGTATCAAAATGGTTATTCTGTGTCGAACTGCCGCTCACACATTCTAGCTCGAGTGTTCAAACAATTGAAACCATAATTTAAATTCACACACATTCACATTTACAGCAACATTAACACAAACACCACTTATTATTAACTCTGAATTTAATTTTTTATTTATGCTGTTGCTTCAACAAAAATCAACTCTGGCAGTTCTTATTAGCCGAGCGAAAAAGAACGGTAAGTGCGAAGCAGTTGGATAGGGAGACAAAACAAAATACATGTCTGCATTTTGTTCTTGCAAGACCAAGACTCTGCCTATGCTTCGTGCATCTGTTTAATATTGTGTGACGTCACAAGATATAATTGTGTTGCTCTGTAAATAGCCATGCATTTTCATATTTAAATAATACGCAATGATTTGTTCATTTAATGATTTAAATATATAGAATTGATAGATTGTCCGCAACAAACGCATCTGAAAAACTGTTAAGCAGTGACGTCAGAGTTTTTTCACGCACGCACATTTGCAGCGCTGCATGTACGCATGTAACACAAATGTCAGAAACTAAACGGCTTTGAAAACGAGATCGAAAAGAAATTGAGAAGAAGATGAGAAGAGGCAGCAATAGCTGAAACACAATACCGGCAAGATTACTGTTCTGTTGCGCTTCTCGATTTCTTTCCCATCCTATGTATGCATAAACATGCATACATATGTATGTTTGATTTACCGTTTATTTTCACAATTGTAATCTGCGCGGCTTATGAGAAATGCAAGTGTCGATTTTCGTGGGTGAAGCATTATTATTTTTGCGTTTAAATTGAGTTTAATTGAGAATCGCTAATGAGTGAACTAAGTGCGTGTTTTTTTTCATGTAAACGAAATGTGCTCGAATTTAAATGTAACTTTGATAGTGTAAACATTCGTGGCAGCGCATGCGACCGGCATTTGAATAAAGAATGTCATTTTTGCAAAGAATAAAAGCAGGTGCAATGTTTAAATTAGTGTTATGTAAGTGCATACTCATTACGACTTAAATATTCTTATTGTCAAAAGAGGGTATTGCATATGTTGTATAAATAAACGTGGAAAATAAGCACGTGCATAGATATGTGTGTGTGTATATATGCGAATATTATTGTTTGGGGCCAATTCGTATACCCGTATGCTGCTGTTCTAGAAACGTCCGAGACATACATATGTATGTATGTATGTATGTATATATACACTTGTAGGTAAGTATGTTTGTGTAAATCTATGAACGTAAGAAAGACCGAATGTGAGTGTTGAGCTCAGCGCATCTGCTAGTGATGTGCATATACATGTGTATGTATGTATGTATGTATGTATATGTATGCATGTGTATGTATGTAAATGTATTAGTCTGCCTGACTCCTTCCAATAGTTGGAAATCGTGCGTACAGCACTGAATTGTTGTTGGGCTTTCACAAACATATGAACATATTTACTTAAATATGTATGTATGTATTTGTTAAAGAAAACTTTAAAGCAACTTTAAATTTAGGTAGAAAGTCAGCTTCAAGTATAATGTGTTCGGCATGCACATTCAACAGTTGTTGCATTAATTAAATTTAAGTTACTTTCTATTTTCGATTTTAATTAACATATTGAAAATAGGGTCCTTCCTGAAATTATGCAAATATGCAAAACGCAAAAATAAAGTGTCACCCAAGTCAATATTACTTCGGGTTTAAATAGGCCCAAGCGCAGGGTCGGAGGGCGGGAGAAAGGCGATAAAATCGCGAGCCAGGCTGTTGAATGCGAACATCTGGCGCTTAAAGCCAGCTCGATTTACATAAGACATCGAAGATGGCGCCCCGGGTTCCGGTAGTCGCATGAAACGCAACAAGGTAAAGATGGGCTCGTTACACACACACACACGCACACGCAGCTCAAGCCGAAGCCCTTGCAAGTACTTTCAACTCGCATATCGATGTGGATTTGTTTTAAGTAGACGCCATTTATGTGATTGCAATACTCGCAAACTGAAGACACAGAGAAAAAAATACTCACACACAGATTAAGGATAAAGCGGAAGCTACTGCATCTAATACAATAAAATCGCTCGGCTTTACGGAGGGTGTATTGAGAAGTATTCAAAATCGACTGAGTAATCCATGAGCTATTGTCCCGAATATCTTTAGTTAATATTCTCTTGGGCCAATCGGTGTGAAACAAGGAAGTCTGAGTATGATTTATATATAGAATCTTATAGATACTTCACATATTAATATCTAAAATCTCAGCAGTAAACTCTTTCTTAAACTAAATATATTTTACTAAAAAGGAAAAAAAAGATATATTTCTTGGAGCCTGAATTATAAAGTCTAATGTTCTCGGCTTAAAGCTTCTGTAGTTATAAAGTTCGAACAACTTAGAAGAACTTAAGAATTTTATAAGGGTATATTAAATTTTTCTTCTTTATATCATCTTTAACCATATTTAGTGCATATATTCTAAACAATATATGCTCAATATGTAAATCACTTTTTGTCCTCTATTCGCTTGCATTGGTCCGTATTTCTTTAACAGGCATAACATATGTATGTCCCTTTTGGTCGGATCATAGAACTATATCTTATAGCAGCCATAGGAACTATCGGTCGAAAATAAAGTTGTATGAAAAACTATTTTGTACTAAGATTTCTTTATAGTTTATATCGAACTGTACGATTAAGAACAATTCAGTTGAGAGATAAAAACTTTTCCGTTCTTCAAGATAACTCAAAAAACAAGCAACATTTTTCTTCCCAAATATTTGCAAAACCGTATGCGCAAAGTACACAAGGATATTTCTATAAAGTTCGTTGTGTGTTTTTCTTTCTTGTTTCAGTTTAAACAAAACAACTCGCAAAATAAACCTGTTGTGTTTTAAAGCTTCACTCAAATGGCGAAAGTAAACTATTCTTACTCGACTCGTTCCAGGAGCGCCAACTGCACCGCTGTCAGTTAGCTTTCTTGGCCAGGCTACTTCAAAATTGACTGCTGCATCGGGCCGGGCACAGCCGTGGACTCTGTTGGCCAAGTGCGAGTCCAGGCTGTCTACTTTTGCAGTTGTGTTGCTCAATTTGGCTTTGCAGCTCATCGTCGATGCTGATGGTTGGGGCTGACAGTTGTTGTATATATGTATATATATAATATTGTGATTGTTGTGCTCTTGTTTGGGCTGCCCTTTCTTTCGTTTATGCATTTCTTTTTGCACTGTCATAATGCTATATGAAGTGGAAAAATGGGAAAGTTTTGCAGACAGAGGAGGGCCATTTTTTCGCTCGCACTGTCGAATTCCTTTAATTTGGCTTGCACAACATGCCGCATATATTCAAAATTGCTATTGCGAAAATATTTGCCCCTGGTTGCTGTTCAGTTTGGGTTTTTTTTTTGTGGCTAGCAAGGGCAAAACTATTTTCATTTGCAAGTCGAACAAAGCCGCAAACGCCGCAAACTAGTCGAGACGGGAGTCAAGTTGTTCCGTGCACCCCAATAGAAACTTTCGAGATGTTGAGCTTAAAACCGCAGAAAAGTTGAAAAGTTTTCGGTGATTTTATGAATATTGACCAATCAAACTAAATTGAATTGAATTGAAGGCGCAAAAAGCTTCAAACTATTTAAAAACAATTTTGCTAAAACGTACGAAAAAAAAATACCCGAGTTGCACTTTAGAAGGGTTTCTCGTTGGTTTCACTGCGCTTGCCCTTTTGAAATTTAATTGCAAAAACCACCCCTTTTTTTTTTTTGAAGTGTTTACCCGACGCCCGCGAAAAACTCTTCAGCATTTCCCGGGAATCGTTTAATTGCGCTGAGCCACAGAAAGAAAATCTTTTTTGTTGCCAAATCCAATCAGCCAAATAACCCGAGAATGCGGACAGAAAGCCTTTGTTGTGTTCGCTGAACATTTTTCATGGCTTCAATTTTTTTTTTAATATTATTTTTTATATATTTACATTAGGTTGTGTTTGCTTTTAATACAGTTTGTGCAGTAGCTTTTTATTAATATTCCTAAATTGAATATTCAATATTTTCAAATTACGCAAATTTCTCGCGATCTCGGTATACACCCATCTGCTTTGACTTGTTCGCCTCAGCTTGTTTGCATTTTTACTGTTGTGCCTTTGGCTTTCTTATAATATTCAACAATATGCACAAGGTGAGCGAGTGGCAAGGAACGAGATGAAAAGGTCGAAGAAAATGTGGCAACAGTTTGCGTCTTACACTTATTATGCTACAGCTTAGCTAAACGAGTTGGTAATGCGAGAGTTGTGGTCATGATTTATTTTTTCCGAAAGAAAATCACGAATAAACGATAAAAAGAAGCCAGACAGCTGGGTAAACTCATCACGAGTTCGAATAAAATGCAATAAGCAAAGCATGATAAGAGAACGTAAATTTAAATTGTCAGAGGTTGAGTATTTCTTTGGAGGAAAGTCGGCTTATTTCCATCAGAAGCTTATCGCCTATATGTGTACATGCGAATCGCATAGAAGGGCGACGTTTATGATAAAAAGATACGGAAAACATTAATTCACTAAATCCTTCTCTGTCTATTTTTGCCTATATATCTCTTTATCTCTCGTTAAATTCACATGCAAAGTTCTGCCTACAAAAGTAATATATCAGATCATGAAAATTGCATATAAAGGCGAAATTTATTATAGAATGTTACGAAAAGCATGACATTAAGATTAAGAAGAAGTGAGTAAATGAAAGTTAGTCACTATTTTCGAGCAAGCTATGAAGAGTCAGACGAGGCAGTTCTTATTATAATTTATTACTTTTAAAACTAATCCAAATCTTAAAGTTTAAAGCTTTCAACTCTTGTTTGTGCCCTGCTCTGCAAGGCATTTATCCAAGTTGTAATTAACCCACTTGTGCAAAAAAATAGCATTAAATATTTATTAGTGACGCCCTTTAAGCAGAAAAGCCAATTACATTTATAACAATCGCACAAGCGATTTAACAATTTGCAACAACTTTTACAAATTGCGAGTTGATTACCCATCAAGTGTTGAATAATCGAGTGCTCGCTTTATGGCTCAAGTACTGGTAATTTTGTTTTTTTTTTTTTTTATTTTTTGAAAACATTCTTTCGAACGTCATGCAGTTTTAGTTAGTTACGTAGCGGAAATAAATGCACATGAAACGCAATTAATTTGCAGCGAAAAATTTGATTATTAATTTTATGGCGAGCAAACCAGAAACATTGTTGGTCATAAATAACCGATTTTCAAATGAGGATGTGTGAGAGTTTTTTTTTTGGCGGTTAACGCAACTGACAGAAACACTTGCCGCACTTGTCGGAAACAGAAGTATCCGGCACATCCACACAGAGCCAGCGCTTGAGCCAAAAACAAAGCACAGCCAACCAGAAACCCAATTTTAACGTTTTGACGTTTTTTAATTCAATTGTGGTGCCTTTCTATTTTCTTTTTTTTTCTGTGGCTATCAAATCGCGTGAATGTGGCCAATAGCAAAGCGCTAAAATCTAAATGGTCTCAGATCTGATGCTTCTTTTTGGCCATTCGCATGTTTTGCACGTTTTTAATATGAAAGTGCAGCAAGATTTTTATACAAAAATTGATGGCAATTGGCTACAAACAGTTCCATTTTGGGCAAACATAACGCAAAACTAATTGATTGCAATTTTCAGCATTGAGAGTCCCAATTTTGGCTAACCAAAAGCCGTATTTAATATTCGAATAAAAATATTAAATAAATTTCAAATTGGCTAAATATTTGACTGCGAATCCTTTGGATATTGATGAAAATTGATATTGATAAGTGAATTGAAATATCTAGTGAGTGCAGTAAAAACTAACCTAATTATAAATTAATTAGTTTATTGCCAACTAAATTGAAGCCAAAGTTCAAATTAAACATTTGACATGATTTTCGGATTTATTACTAAATATATGACATTAAATATAAAATAATTGGACCATGAATAATAAATGTAGTTGCTGCCGAAATTAAATGAGCTTTTTACTATTAAACTAAATATTGAGTTGAGAATTATTTTGGCATAAGGTTAATAGCAGGCAATTAATTAGGACGTTGTTGCTTATTTTAGTTAAATATTAATTGGAAATTAAATTTAAGAATTACCTAAGCCCAACAATTACAGACTGCCGTATAAATATTCAATATTTATATATTAATTAATAAATTAATAACCCTAATTGTCCCTCTCTTTCTCTCTCTCATACTTTATCTCATGGTATTTTTGTTTTTGTCCGTTTTGCGTGCATCTCATTAATGCATCATTGCCATAAATTTAAACAGCTTTACCTTTTCTCCAACTGCTTGTGCAATACCTGTGTGGACAGCACATGGGTCTTGTGCTGTAAGCTTCCAACCGACTATGAAGTTGCATAGTTGAAGCAAGAGGAGAATGCACGTTTTTCCTGCCTGTTGCGGGCAGCATGTGCAACACACAAGCAACACACAAGCGCTCACATCTTGTCATCGTTGTTGTGGCAACGCGTAATGCAAATGACACGCCATTATCCCTAGCAGCAACAACAATAATAACGCACAATAACAACAAGTCCGACAATGGCAACAACTATAACAAGGGTAGCGAAAATGCAAAGAAGATTCTGAGATGCGAACGCTTGCCATGACTTTTTGTTAGCCCTAATGGCTTTTAATTGTTTTATGAAATTGCGAAAAATGTCGCACCCCAAGCGCAACGACAGCAACGGGAACAAAAAGAAAAGGGCAAATTGCGACAGCAGTCAACGTGGCGTATGCGCAATATAACGCATACGCCTAGTTGCACGGCGAGTGCAACGCACCCAGCCAGGAAGGAAGGTCCGCGCGGCCTAAGTTGCAAAATTTGTATAAGCCCGCTGCGTTGACATTTATTGCCACATTTGCGGGGCCATCCAAAAAAAAAAAAAGGCTGGCAAAATTACTCGTATTTAGCTCTCTGCTCGGCCCAGCCCCGTCCCGGCTGCCGCCACACACACACTCTGCTAGCGAAGCAATTAATTCGAGGTGTTTATGGGCGGCCAGCCAAGCGGATTATTGTGTTTTGAAAACAAACTTGCGGCACTGGGTCAAGTGGCAGCTGCAGCGACAACAGCAACAGCAGCAGCAGCAGCCGCAACCGCAGCTAAGCAGCCAAGTTTACCGCATAGCGAAACTTAAATTGGTGTTTGGTCTTTTGCGACTTTTCGTTCACCCAAAATTAAGTATTTCTCTCGCTATTCGCTTTAAGTAGTATTTTCTGTGCATTAATGATGCGACTTCTTAGAAAAAAATAATCAGCATCAAAAATCGAATCAAACTTCCGACTTTTTCAAACGATTCTCTTAACATTCTAGCCTGCACTGCTTTATCGACCCAACAATTTTCGCTTAGCTCTGCGAAATGCTCTTTACTTTGGCGGGGCTCTCTTCGCAAGTTGGACAAAAAAAAAAAAAAAAAAAAATATTTTTGCCCGCTGGCCACACAAATCACAAACGAATTCATCCGTTGAGTAGGTCAAGATACTAACTCAATTTGGTTCTTGGAAAATCTAAGCAAAAAGTTAGCGCCTCTTGCCTGTCCAATCGAAAAAATATCAAATGCAGACGTCACTCGGCAAAATTGGAGTGCTAAATTGTTAACATTGAAAATGTTTTAAGAAATTGCAGAGAGTTTGGTTTTAGATTATTTACTTAATTAATAAAAGTTCTTAATTTTAAAGTATTTTCTAAAATTCAATATGCTAGATGGAGAAAACACCTTGTTTATATATCAAAGAGTTTGGAAACCGGCCATTCATTAAAAATATACACGTGCACAAACTCAATTTGGTTCTTGAAAAATCAAAGCATAAAGCTTTGCAATCAAGAAAATTTCTTAGACGTCACTTGGCCAAACTAGAGTGCTAAGTTGTTAGATTTGAAAAAGTTGAAGAATAATAAGAAATTGCAATAATTGAAAAATAGATGATAATAAACATTTTAGTAAAATATTCAGAATTTATTAATTTTTAAGTACTTTCTAATATGTAATATGCATAATATATGCACAAAATATAAATTTAAAAACTGAAACCAAAACTAAAAAATATAAAAAAAAAAACGCTTCCTGTTTGTGCTCGATTAGAAAATACCTTGTTTCTAGCTTCCAGCCTGACTGGACTTCCTCGACTTAGCTATTCATTCTGATAAGGAATATATACTATTTACCTCTAACATTCACGTGCAGATCTATATCATGTCCTTTTTAAACATATGAACCACAAAAAGAACGCTTGTCAAGTCATTCCTGGCCTTTACTTCATACTGTATGCTATTTGGCAAAAGTATTTCAGTTGCCATGCAGTTTGTTTTCCCTCATGCCAAGTTATTTGCTCTAATTGCCGTTTGATGGGCAACTGCTCAGCGTTAATGGTTGTGTTTTTGGTGCCTGTCAAGGACAACACGAGAATGTTTGTCAAATAATTAAACTCATTTGACTATCGATTTGTGCAAAATACCAAAACTGGACGCAAAAGTAGCGCAGTATCAGTCTGGCGAGTTCCTAATTGCAGAATTCTTAGCTTTAATAAATGCGGTATGCATTTATTCCATCTATTTCGCAGATTTCACTGCCAGTCAGACAGACAGTCAGTCAGCCAGTCAGTGGGAGAGACAAAGGCAGGAACAAACAGCTGTCCGACTGGCTGACTGACATTGAGAGTTTCTGATGGTGGCGCAGTGACAAACGGGCGAGAAATAAGTAAACGGACAGAGAGCAAAGCGTCGCATAAAAAGTATCTGTTATTATGATTGTTTAGTGCTGTCGCCGGAAATTTCATTCAAGTGGAATGCAGTCAAGGCAGCACAATTCCCCCCAAGGACAGCGACAAAAAACAACTATAACTGCAACTGCAGGCGACAAAACTGCAGCTTTTATCCGAAAGCAAAAAAACAGACACAGACAATAATAACTTATACTCGAATCAGAAAGGGACAACAGCAAACACGCAATTTAATAAGAAAAAAAACATCCGAAAAACTGAAATCTACTGACAATTTGCAAAACAAATGCACTGCAATAAGTTGAACGAAGTTATGTATCTGAGTATCTGCATATTCTTGGTATGGATGCTTCTTCTTCTTCTTCAGCAGGCAGCTGGTACGAAAAGTTGCTTTGCATATTTCATGGCCCTCGTACTTGGGCAATTGCCTGAATTTCAACATTAACTCATACAGCATACAGCGATCTGAGGGGAATTTCAACAGCAGCTCGACAACTTACTTGCAGCTCATACGAGTATGAACGAGTACTCGCACTCGCACTCGCACTCGCATTCGCACTCGCATTCATCCAGCGCGCACTTCGTCAGTGTCTTTTGCAGTAATTTTGTTTGCTGTAACAGTTTAATCATTGGCATTACACGCACAAGCATCAATCAGAGGTTTATATTCTTTTTTCGTGCTGTCGAGGGCTGCAGATGCAAGGGTTGCAGCAGACTCCTGATAACTTGAGCTAATGCAAGTGCTATACATATGAATATGTGCATGGGAAGTGCATGATTTCTAAATCTGATTGATTTTAAATATACATTTTTCCTATTCCTTTCGAGCAGATATATTGGCTACATATTTAAGCAAGTAAGAGTGCGCTATTCGAAAGTGTCTGACTTGCGAATATCCTGATTGCTTGGACATGAAGCAACTAATCGATGATCGGAATTCTTACTGCGCGGGACGACCTACGTTCAAAATTTTAAGTCTCTAGCTCTTAAAGGTTATGAGATCAAGGTGTTAGTACATACGAACAGACAGATAGACACGGCTAGATCGACTCGGCTATTGATGCTGACTAGGAATATATATAATTTATGGGATTGAAGATGCTTCCTTCTGCCTGAACAATCATTTGCACAAGTTCATTTTACCCTTTTTACCCATTTACAATGGGCGAATAGAAAATTTTTCGGCACCATTTTTGACATGTTTTTTATTATCCTTTTTTTAAGCTCTACTAAAGTTTATAACTTCCTGTTGCCTTAAACTTTGCTAGCAGCTCTCGGCAGCTCGACGGCGCCACTAAAAACATTAAATGTATTAAGGTATTAATTATGCACACTGCAAAATACGTAAAAGTTAATGTCTGTGTGTTTTTCATGCGTTCTACTGAAAAAAGATATAAGAATTTCCTTGTCCAAACAGTCAATGGTTGAATTGAATTTATTATATTTAAGCAACAGCAGAAGTAACTGAGTTGAAGGTAAATATTTAATGTGAATCAACTTAAATGTGATTGCAATGTGGTTGGGAATTATTTAAAGTGCACAATATTAATGCAAGGAACTAACAAGAAGAGAATGTTTTTCTCGTGGTTCTTTCTCCTGCAAGTTGACCACAGTTTCGTTGAGGAATTGGCCTGTCAAATGTGATTTATTCAGACTTTGACTTTCTTGTTTTTCATTTCAGTTACCAATGCCATATAATTTTATTCAGTGCAGCTCTCATGTGCATGCAGGCAACAGTGCTGTGTGGCTTGGAATCGGTTTTAATGAAATGCCAACGCGGCGAATGCGCAATGCAAGGATTAAAGACGAAGCGTCAACAAAACTGGCCCCAGCTGCGATGCCAGAGCTTTATGTTAAACAGCAGAAAGCAAAAGGCGACGTCTTATACCAAATATAATGAAAATTGAAAGAATATTTTGTACATAGAAGTGAAACGCTAGGTAAGTGTACAAATTGGCTCAAAGCTCGTAGCCAAGGCAAGCAAAAAGTCATATATTTTAAGAGCAATTCTCAAGCAGTAAAAAACATTTACCGAAGTTGAAATATCCTTCGGGACTGTGATTGTTCCTATAGAGGTCATACGATAAATATATATGGATGTGCTCCATCTGTAGAATTAATTAACTAATTGCATTTAATTAAATCGATAAAAACGATTTTTCGATTTTGAAAATTGAATTTCAAAGAGAAAAAAAATGAAATTTAAAACAAATAATCGAAAGCGAGAATTAAAGTCTTCTTCTACATTTTTCAAAAGCTTGGCTTTATTTGCAACTTTAATTGAGCCATTTTTGCAAAGTTTTGCCGTGTTTAAAATCTTCAATGTTAAGCTATAATTATAATTTTGTATACCATATCATAGTTTGTTTAAAGTGCTATTATATTTATTTTATTTATTTATAATTAGATTTAAGTCTTAATCTATTTTATACCCATCACTTTTCATATAATTATACCTTTGTATGCTGGCATTTGCCCATATACGCTTTTTTGAAATCTATATAATGAATAAGTGTGAGTTGTTTGTTGGCTTGTGCTTATTTGTACTTGATTTGCAGCCATATCTCGTTACAATATTAAAGTAGCTTTATTTTTGTTATGTTTGGGGATCAACCCCCTTTTTTTTTTGCCATGCTGCCCAGCTGGGCATTGTGGGGTGGGAATACCATTAACATCAAAGGAGCACAAGAACAACAACGACAGCTACTAACTGCTTTCAAAAAGAGACATGTTTTCACAGAGATCTGATCAAGAATATATTTCTGTTATGGGCTTAAGTTCGCCTAGATTAAGCGTTTGGGGTATTATACCCCAAGGAACATATATAAATGAAACGAAACTTTTTTGAACGTCAAAAGCACACTCAGAGCTTATCTAACAATTTAGTTTGCCAATTAAATAAATTATCTGCTTATTTGTTATTTAATTAAAAATTAATTTTCCAGGCCAATTAGAATTTTGATTGAGTCTTTATACTTATATGCCAACATTCCTTGCCTTGCCTTTCCCACAAAAAAGGACTAAGTACGTCCAAAAGTCACAAGGCCCACTTCATTTCATGCTATAAACACGCTTTTAAAGCGTGACATTTTTTAAGAAAATGTCCAAAGTAGCGCAAAAAAAAATGTAAAATGACAAATCAAAAAATAAATAAACAAACAGCTAAAGTCAGTAAACTTGTTGGCAAATTTGTTAGTTTGTTGCCATGGGCCTCGAAATGTGCTGCAGGCTTTTTCAGTTGCTTAAGTCCATTTGGTGGAAAATGCTTAGTAACACATTTTCCGACAGACAGTTGGGCGTCCAGCTTAATGCAAGGCTGAATGAAGGCTCATTTATCGTGTGCTGTGCGTTGTCATTGTCATTACCATTTCGTTTTGGAGAATGTTGACGGCCCCGAGCACACAGCAAGACATTTGTCTTGGTCGGCCTGCTTGTACATTTTATATCGAAATAATACAAATTGTGGAAATTTAAGTGCCGCTCGCACTGTGTGTGTGTGTCCATTTTGTTTGCAAATTATTTCTCATCCATCTATTTATTGTGCGACCCGATCGAAATGTCATTTGTTACTTTGTGCGCCGCCTGCTGTCAGGGGCTTGCCGGACTTTAAAACTTTAATGGGCTCAGGCGCGTGTGTGTTGTGGTACTCAACTGCCACGCCCCCCCTACGCAAGAACGCCCTCGGCGAGCACACTTGATGTGCTTAATATAACTTAATTGCTGTCGCTAGCAGCACATGTGGGCGCCATTAAAATCAAAGCCACGCTTAAGCCAACTGCCCCAATGGCTGCCCCTTGTGGGGGCTGCTGTTGTTGATATTGCTGTGGCTGCCCCGACTGACGTCACATTTGTCATATGCAAAACGTATGATAAACGGCCACACGGAGCCCGTCTGATGGCTGTGTGACATATTTGTTAGCTATTGGGTGGCCAGTTGTGGTCGGCCCTTTGACGTTGCCACCTGACACCGGATGTGAACAGTAAAAAAAAAGTAATTACCAGCAGAAAATCTAGCAGTGCACACTGGAAAAAAAAAAACAGAAGAAGATAAACAACTGTAATCGATATGAAAAACATGACGACGGCTTGCCGAGGCACTATCTTCAAAAGTTAATCAAAATATAAAGTTGGAAATTGTTAAGGTTTTTTCTAGTTATGAGAACCCACTGTCTCGTCACGTTTCATATAATTTTTCGTGCAACGTTTCAGTTTATTATTTACGTATTTTTATTAAAATTTCGAAAGAATTGTTTTGGCTGTTCTTTCTTCAGCTATATTTCGGCCTGGGGTTCGGTTAAAGGGACATAAATATTGGACATCTGGCTTGGGCTTAAAATCGAACTGCAGTATGAAAAGGATAAATTAAGTACATTATAAGATAAGATCCGAAACGATTAAAATACTTATAGGATCAAATATTGCCTATAGAAGAAAAAGAATATATATGTATATGTATTTGTGGGTTATCTTTAATAAAGATAAATATATATACAATATTATTTAAGTTTATTGTAGTTAGGATTTTCACCTATGCTTACAAGACTTTGTACTGCATGGCAAGCATTGTGGATTTTTTTACAATTTTTTTTTTGCTTCGAAATATTCCTATACATTTTTTATTCAAAAGTTTCAATCACTCACACACACTTAAGTATTCGTGTAGTAGAAGTTTCTATATTGCCAAAAATTGGCTACCTTCCATTTATTTTGAACAACGTTTTGTTATCCATCATCGCCCGCCCTCCGCCATATATCACAGCATGGCACGCAATTTACTAACGAAATTGTCATAACATGGCCATAACAGCTTAAGCCATATGGAAGCCGCAAAAAGTTGCACGAACCGTAACTTGCAAATTGTTGCCAGTCCCGCAACGAAGAGGGCCCAGCAGGAAAAAAAAAAACGAATGAGGAAAACTTTTCTGTTCACTTTTTGGGCGTAATTTGGCCAATTGAATGCGTATTGGCCACGTTCTAGCTAATATGCGTGCCGTAACCGTCTAACCTGCGTGCCTGTCTGTGCGTGTTTGTGGTGTAACCCCAGAGCTATTCAATAGCGCCGCCGCCGCCGCCCCGCCCCACATCGCTTTGAGTCAACTCTACCCGCCCCCTGCCCGCGGCATGCCGCAAACATGTCAAAGCAGGGGGCGAACAGCAGTTGGGCAACTGCTTTAACTGCTTTTATTGGCTGCCGGCTGGTTGTTCGGCTACTGCCGGCTACTGTCAGTTATTTACTCAAAGCATTTCATTTGCCAATTTTCGCTCAGCTTAAATCAGCGTTGCATGAAAATGACAACAACAGCAGCCAGCTACCTCGAAGCTGGCGACATGCGGCTGGCGGCATGCGGCATGCGGCAGGCAGCAAACGCCAAGCAGCGAGTTCTTTGTAAAATGGCAGCAGCAAGATAAAATCCAATTAAAATAGCGTAGAACTTATAAAAAAATAGAAACCAAAAGTGAATCTCCAAATGCAAGCGGCTGACTTCGAAATGCTCTGCAAGATCTGCGAAAGTCGAAGCAAAACACAACTGACACTAGAGAGAATCCAGATAGGTCTGAGGCATGATTAAATATTTACAAAATGTAAGTCTTATTTGCAGCATAATTAATTAAAAAATACAAAGTCTAGTCGGACAAATTGTTTTCAGACTGCTTGCGCTCTGGTTCAAAGCATGCTTTGCTACATGTCTTTAATATTTCAAAGAGACAACACGTTGTACTGTAAAGATCGCATTTGTACTTTTGGATTAGGTCATTCTTTAAAGTCTTTCAGCTAGAAATCCTTAACACAAAAACAGCTTGCTTTATGAAGGAATTAATTTGAAATTTACAATACGGAAAAATATTTGCCTTGGTCGAATTAGCATTAATTAACGAACTGCATTCAAGCAAAAGACAACAGCAAAAGTTGATTTCGATCAAGCCAACCTTTTCGTTATGTTACTAACACTGCAGCATTGTGCACATGCCCACTCGTATGCCCTTCAACTACTGTGTTAAGGACACAAAAAAAAAAGAAGAAGGTGCAGCTGCAGAGCAATAGCAACATGGCTGCAAGTAAAACAAAGCATAAAATCTATTTGCAGCTGGTGGCGGGCAACGGGCAGCGGGCAGACAACAAAAGTTTATGCCATGTAAATAACGACATCATAAATTTGGTTACGTGTGTATATACCATGCATATATATCTGCATATCTCACCTCACACACACACACACACACACACGCACACATTGCTGGTTAGTTCCGTTTTAGTAAACCATTTTTTCATGCCTGTTCCGTAACAGAGCCAAACTCCCACCTTTTCCCATCGGCTCGCTAACTGTTACGATTTTCATGGCCCACGATTCGCGTTGCGCTTTTTTTGCCTGTTTTTTTTTTCCTATTGTCATAAAAAACCCGACAACAATGGCAGCAGCAGGAGGCTCTCTCTCTGTTTTTTTTTCTAGCCGCTCGTCAGGGGAAATAAAAGTTACGTTGACACGGACACCGCCACCAAGTGCCAAGCACTTGGCCCGACCCGCCCCACAACCAAATCCCAACCTATTCGAAAGCCCAACGCAATCGCAGTCCCGTACAGCTGTTGTTGTTGTTGTTGTTGTTGGGCTGTTGTTAACTGATTTTGCTGTGCTTTTTAAAGGTGCTGCAACTTTGTGCTGTGTGCAATACTCAACTTGTTTTTGCCTGGGTAAAATGAGCAGCGTATAAAATGTGTAAGAAATTAAAACGATTAACAGCAAAATCAAGTCAAGTTCCGGGCCAGAAGTGGCCCAGAAAGCTGAGAGTCTATTCAGCTAGGCGGGCAGCAAATCTGGAAATGAAATACAACCACGCAACTCGGACTCAATGCCTTTTTGGTGCTTGACTCCGGCAAAAAAAAAAAAACAACAAATGATTGTTGTTTTTAGCGCGTATTTCTTGTAGCCACTGTAAATAGAGG